CACTGCGTTGTGTGTGTGTTGTGTGTGTTATGTGTGTGTTGTGTGTGTGATGTGTGTGTGTGTCATCATCAAAAGATTTTTTACACATTAACCCCACATTAGTTAAATATTTATAAATAATCATAGTTTATTGCGTTATTTTTATAATTCGGCCCATAAAATGCACTAATTAACTCGTAAACCGTTTATAAGAAATCACATCACGCCAGTTCGGAGAACAAGCAAATCAACGAGATGCATGCACGCAACTGAAGGAAGGTTTTTGTGAGGAGTTTGTGCGTGCATGTAATGATAATAAAAATTAAAAGTGTTTTTGCTTTCATCGTGCGGTGTGGGTGTGTGTATGAGGCTTGTTTGTGTGTATCTATGCGTTTGTGAGTATGTGTGGTATGTTTGAGTGTGTCTGTATGGTGTGTGTTTTTGTATGTGAGTGTGTGTGTGCGTCTCCTTGTCTCTGTAAGCGTGTATGTTTTTGCGTGTTGCAAGGAACAAGTTAGGGTTACAAGCGAAAGTATGAGCGAAGCAATAAAAATAATGGAGACTCCTACTACTCGTAAACAATATTTCAGCATTCCTGAGTGTTATTAGTGAAAACGTAAAAATATTTTAATTACAACTTGCTACAATTTGTTGCTCTCTACAAAGAAGACTCATAAAACAATGCTGCTCCAACTAACAAAGCTTAATGTTCTCTTGTTCAAACAAAGAACAATCCACAGTGTTACAGACTATTTAAACCTATTTTTAACCTTGAAATAAAATTATTACAAAACAAAAAACCTGTTAAGGAAAATAAAATCTGTAAACATTGCCATATTTCTCTTTCGCCAAAAATTTTTAATTACTTTTTTAAATTTATTCTTTCGATTCTGCACAAATGAAAAAAATTTCATAAATGAATAAAAACTGCGGTTGATACGTTCATTAAATGACTCTCATATAAAACGAAATTGGTCCTGACAAGATTCGCACAGGGCGACTTTTACATTGGCAGACCCAGAAATATTTACTGGGAAAATTATTTGATGCTTATTTCATTTCCTTGTAGAGCAGAATGTTTCAGGGTTTGTGTGTTATTTCCAAACTTTTGGTGACCAAAAACATCTTTTCTACAATGTTTTTGCGACAGAAGTTTTGTAACATTGTAACATCTGTTTGCTGGGGTCCATCGAACTCGATATGCTTTCCTGGATCCGTCAACGCCTTTAAACAAAAGAAGATGCAAATGACGTTTTAATACAATAATGATAATAACTCTAATAATAATAAAATAATAATAGAGTCAATTTATTGTCCTTTCAACGTTTTGCCATTTGATATTTATTAACATTAAATATTTGATATGCGAACTAACTTGCTGTATTTGTGAATATGTTGAGGAATGTATAGATCTATATTTTTGCCGCGAAAATTGTTACTTAGAAAAGGTAGATTTTGTTTAAAAATTTGGAAATAATTGTAAAGTTTTTACATTTTTACCTTCGTTAACATTCGTTTGAAATTTAGTTGAATCTATGTTGAAACAATTTGCTCTGCCTTTTAGTTTCAACTTAGATTATAATTATCTATGAACGTTTACGAGAATGTATGCACGTGTTCTGTACATGCTTCTTTAACTCATATCCACATAAAAGTATGCAAACACCGTTCTATAAATCTGTAACAGGAACATTCGCGTGAAAGTCTAATTTGTAATCTAATTCATCTGTTCTGTTCACACGTACGTTCTCAGCAGACGAGCAGGGAAGTAACGGAGGTTTTCAAATCTCAATGATCATTAGCACACACTCGAGCAGGTTGTGCACATGTGTTAATACGCGCCAACTAACCACCCACTATGTACTTGCTCACTATGTATTGACATTTTCAATACGTGCTTTCAACGACAGCCTGAACAACAACCACACATACATCCTACCAATTTTTCCATAATTTGTAACTGATGTTTGAGGACTTGCTCCATCAAAGCGCACACTTTCAGTCACATTTTTTGAGTTTGCGGTCAAATAAGTTTGCATGTGTTTGTGTGTGTTTTTTTTTGTTTGTGTGTGTTGGTTTGTTTGTTGTGTGTTTGTGAGTTGATTGTTGTTGCACTTAACCTTTTATTATTTCTATGGTCTAATTAAATTGTTTTAGTCAATGATAATAAGCACTCGTTTTTATTAGAGAATTACATTTGTAACTATCTGTTCTGGTTTACAGTCAAATAAGAAATTCAAGTACAGTCTAACAACATTCTACCTTCAAATAGACTACTAAATATAAACAACAATCATTATAATTATAATAACAACAATTACGACAACATCAATAATTATAACAATGTTATCACCAACAATATTGATGATGTAAACAACAATCATACCAATAGTGACAACTTCAACAACAACATCAACAACACCAACAACAACATCAACAACAACATCAACAATAACAACAACAACAACAACAGTGCCAACACTGTAGATACCAATGCTACAACCCACAGCGCAAATATCAGTTGCAATTGGAACATCATCAATAGTGACAACCCTAACAACAACATCAACAACACCA